CTATCTGTCACCCTCTATTTCAGTCACTCTGTCCTTTTTTGCACTCTTTCTTTCACTTTCTCACTCTCTGTCACACACTCTCTCTTTTTGTCACTTTCTCTCTCTCTGTGTTACTCTCTCTTTCTGTCACTTTTTCTTTCTCTTTGTCGAACCTCCTTTTCTTCATATATGACACATATTAACACGAAACTTAATATAAAATAATAAAATCGTAACACTAATTCATTATTCTATTACCATTACAACACCCATCGCGTCCAACCGCTGACACACTAAGTGTAAACACTGCCCGAAACGCCATTTAACTAAGGCTAATCGAAGGACCAATCAAGAGCCCTCCGCAGGAACTAGCTTAAATGCCACCTAATATGGCGGTTTTAAACTAGTATATTATATATCTATACACCAAGCAGAGTGTAAGCAGAAACAAACAGGAAAGGTCTTACATATAATATGGAAATTCTTCTGCGCTTCTGGAGAAGCCATGTTGAGGACTCCAGATTCAAATGGGCCGGATTCATCTATTGTGTCACAGACCAGGACTTATTCTACGAACGTGAAACAGCGAGTTTTATGATTTCCCGAAAGTGAGGACTGCAAGCTGGAGGTTCTTTCTATATCTGGGAAAGATATATTCCTAAATGGAAATGGCACCATGGATCCATAATCTGCTGGGGAGATGGATTTGGCTACTTTCCTGAACCGTTGGTGCGCGGTGGTACTAAAGAAATCAACGTCTCGATTTTCCTACTGTAAACTAACTGAATAACTTGCCACTCTGTTCACTGTATGAAGTGACGTCATAAGCGGCGAACCCAGTGACCTATGTGATAATCGCCATTTCTTATCCCTACATAGATTTATTTATTTACGTTATTGTTATTCAATTTATTCTTTTTAGGATATTTTACCAGAAGAGGAAAAGCGTATCACCGAAGTCGGATTGTGAAAGATGCCTTTAAAATCTAAACCAAAGATTAAGACACAGGGAAATTTCATTAGAAACGAATAAAAGAGTAGCGAACTGTTGTGTAATATCAGTGCCCCTACACGGCAGTGAATGCACTGAGAGCTACGATTGCTAACGTCTTGTAGCGACATGGCGCATAGTGGAGCGAGAATTCAACGTGTAAAAGCAAAGGAAATGAGATGAAAGAAATACAAGTCAAGGACGTGTGTTCTCACCGGACTAATTCAACCTATACAGTGAGGCGATTCTGAGAGAACTAGAAGTCCTACCAGGATTTATTATTGGCGGCGACAATCTTAACAATATAAGATCTGAAGATGACACAGTGTTGATAGCTGACACAGAAAGGAAACTACAACAATTCCCACAGAAGGTGGTGAAGAAAAGCGAGAAGAAAAAAATAGAAGACAGGATCCATGGTTGTTAACAAGAGGAACAACCTGTGGGTTATCCCATTGAACTTTCCTAAAAAAACAAAAAACAAAAAAAACGTCGCTTGGGGACGCTCCTTAAGCTGATAAATAGGCAATGATATTGTCACTCATTCTCTTTCACAATCGTTCAGAGTATGTGTTATGGTCTGGTTCCTTGTACCACGGTGATAGTCCAAGGTAGAACCAATGAAGAAGAACTCGAACACGGATATGGAATAACACAGATATATTACAAACAGGAATATATAAAGAGAAGTAGAAGAGTTAGTATGAACAATCAGGTTTAGTAGAGAGAACAATGTAGTCTCGACCAGTATAACTATTCCAATATTTTTGTAGTAATTGTCTGAACGCGACTCTGTTTCGGACTGCCTCTGACTCGACTGACTGACTCGACTGACTGACCCGCCTTCTGACGGACTTCACTCCAGACTTCAGACTAAACGGTATTTAGTCACCGCACGAGGGCATCATGTGGCACAAGGCCGGTTTAACGTGGGATCATCGAACCCGTGGGCTCGGCCGAAATATGCCCTTTGAAGCCGTATAAACGGGTTCAGGGTCGGTTTAACTCCTCGAAGAGACTCCGCCCTTCGGCGTAGCCTCGTTCGAGTTCCTCTCCGCCCGAAGGCAGAGAGTTCAACCGATCAGCCGGTCGCCCGACTTCAGGCTGAACTCCCTGCTTCCTCTTGAAGCGCAGTATTTATTACGTATGGAATAGTCCATTATGTTATTATGGGTAATGTCCCATAACAGTATGACGATAAACTACATCCCGAAGCAAGGTCTCTGGTCAGAAGGTTTTTTAGGAACGTGGAGCCATCTTTTAATTGCTGTCGTTTCCAGGACCACCCTAACTGTTCTAACATGTACTCACCAAGAAACTCGATGTTGACGAGGGGGAAGCGATGGGATTCAATCGGTTGTGTGGTGGTCCGTCAAGGTAGGAGGCAGGGAATGTTTCTCTTTGTCAACCAGATTTTATGTTTGCTGTTGTAGTAGATTCTTTCTGATTGGATGGAAAAGGCTACAATACATTTAAATGAGACCATCTGGAAAACTGCAAAGGAAATCCCTTTCACCTACCAAAAAGTTATTGTTATTTTTTGTTAAGACTGTTAGTCTGTTACTACTTTATACTGTTACTATTACAAGGATGTTGTTTGTAAGCAATGAGGCAATTCATTACAAACTCAACCTATTATTACTTGGGGATGCTGCTGCAACAGGCAAGACAAGAATTACATCTTTTTTCTCCTTTCACATCAAATTTCGAGTACAATGCTTCTGAGCTCTCAAGCTGTCCAAGTTTCCTCCTCCCCAATCTATTGACATAAAATAAAAGATCCAACAATGCTTACAATCACATTTTAGTAGAAATTTTCTCCCACAGAACTGACAAGCCCAAGTAGGAGTTCAATGCTTCTTTTTCAATATTTGAATAATTGAATTCTATAGCTGATAATATTCTGGACGGGTACATCACCGAATGACTTTTTTGGCATGATATTATGGAATCCTCCATATTTGCCTGTCACCCTCTGAGGGAAAATGCACTCTTCCCCCAAATCAACTTTAAATAATCATCATTTCACTTTTTCAAACTTGACTTCTAATTGGTTAAAAGGACCCCAAAAATGTAGCAAGTTGCGACAAATCTGTTTTCCCGCTCACCTCTCTGGAGCCGGTTTGAAATCCAAAAAATAATCAATAATTAGGATCGCTTCATTTGATTCAGGCACTCAGTAACTACGTTGCGAGAGATGCCAACAAAATCCACGCGCGCCAACACACTGAATCAACAATCACCATGCGCGCCGACATACTGACTCAACAACCACCACTCTCTCTCAGCAACTCAACACAACACACTCAGCTATCGCCGCGCGAAGATACTTAAATTACAACTGACTAAAAAAGTGACATTACCACTATGACATAGTAATTGTACATTTAATCAACCTCAGCATACCAGTCAGTAACTAAGTCTTTGTGAGATGCCCACAAACTCCACGTGCGCCAGCACACTGGCTCAACAACCGCCTCTCTCTCTCTCTCTCTCTCTCTCAGCAGCTCAACACAACTCAGAAAGTCTTGCCGCGCGAATTGACCCAACTTATAATTTACTAGAAAAAGTGACATTATCGCTACCGAAGTAGTAATTGTATTTAATCAACTTACATCATATCAGTCAAAGGCACATAACTCTTTATGACTTTAAACAATATTTACAATTGTCGCACACATACACACTAATATTTGAATCCACACAAGTGACATTTTACCTTGCAGAAATCAAACTGTTTAAATTTCATAGATAAACCTTAACTACAAGCTTTCATACACCAAAGCACTGCATAGTCACTCCTTACAATTTTATCTCATTTATCACATTGAACAAGCAATCTTAAAATTCACTTGTGTATATCAAACGTATATAAATGCATGTTATTTGTTGAAATCTATAACTACGTTGTTTTTCCTTGATTTCTTCCAATTGAATTGCCTTCAAATGTTTGTTTATTTTATTTGTTGTGGATGAATGTTTAACGAACACGCACATTTTTAAGCCTTCACACAATTACACTGAATCCTTGTCAGTTGCTGCCTTAATGGGTAAGGTATTTGTGGGAGAGTGGTTTACCCAAGTGCTTCTACTGTCTTTTTCAGCATCAATCAAAACATACCAGGGACATGACATTTTTGGTCATGATATGGAGCAATGGGACAGAGGATAAATTGAAATATATTCAAATCATTTTATCATGGGCATTTGGGCTAATTGTATACAAACATCTTCTGAGAGAATTCAAACTCAATTTGTTTATATACCATTTTCTTTGGTATTATCTCAAACTACCAGTTTATTTTGTTTGTGTCTATTATTAACTTGAGAATCCTGTTTATTACATACATCCCTTCATTTCTAAACACCGACTCATGGATATCAATATCCATAGATGTTCAAGTCCCTTATATAAAATGACAGTCTTTGCATATGACTTGTGCACGATCTCTTATATACTTTCAATCATATCTAAATTATATAAAATAAGTGTTATGTAACTAGGTGTTATACTGTAGACCTACCTACCTGCTTAAATCTCATTCCATGAAAGCCTTGAGCCCATGAGAACAACCTTGCTGCTCTGACTTACATGGTCTTGGTAGAGTATTGGAATATCCTCTAATGCCAGATTGATTATCTGGAGGTCCTGACAGACAACATCTTTACAACAGTTGTGTGCCCTGCCAAGAGGTTGTCTCCAGTCAGCAAATGGTGTGATGAACCGGTAGATGACTCCGGTAGGGAGGTCATCAGGTTGTTGCTGGACATGACCAACAAACACAGTGCAGAGGATGCTTGGGTGGTGGATTCTCTGGCAGAACTCTTCGTTGTTCATGAGATTGGACTAGTGTACCTAATGGTCCTGAAGCCATGAGACTTGAAGTCATGGATGTGAGGGTCTTGCTAAGAGGTATCTCAGAAAATCTGCAGCCAACCCACATCTGTTGATCTCTGATATGTCCCGGAAAGGGATATATTTGTTCGAAGTAGAAAAGTGATTTTGGACTACTGTAACCGAGTAGCACAATCTTGCAGGTAACCGTAATAGACTGGTCCTCGTCGTAGTGGTAGGCAATAGGCGTAGCCAATAGGTGTCGTCCTGTATCTCTAGATCAGTCTGTATTTATGTCTGACACCAGCCAATCATATTACTGTGAGGGGGAACCCAGGTGTATTCATATTCATTAAATCAATCTCTATGATGAGGTC